AAAAAAATTTCTTGCTAAATTTTACTATATAAAACACTCTAACCCTAACCTTAACTAACTTTAACCTTACCCTTACCTTAATCTTAAAGAGGTTAATTTTTTGTTTTAATAAAAATTATTTATTTTTTTTTATACATTGTAGATTACAGGTGACAATTACCTAAGGTGATTTTTAGTTATTTTCTATAATCTTTAAGAAAATCAAAGTTTTTAAGAATCTAAAAAGTTAAAATTTATATTTTTAAAAAGCAAACTATTTTTTAGATATTTATTATCAGATAACACTATATTTTCTAGATCATAATAATTATTTAAAAAGTCTGAACTTGGTAATTAGAAGACAATGATGGCATCAATATTTTTAATATCTTTGAGAACTTCAACTCAAGACCTAGTTGGTTAAGAATATTGATGTTATTAGTTGTATCAATTATAGCAAAAGTATTCAATGCTATTGAAGAATTAAATAGTGAAAAATAGTATAGAGGAAGTTATTTCTTATAAAATCAATAATATCTTTATAATCATTGTAGACATAACAAAATTTGGCACGATTAAATTAACACGGTTATTGTTTCTTAATAAATATACATTGTCACTCTATCAAAAATTGTCACCTGCTGAATCTGTTTATAATTTTTAATTTGCGAGATAGTGATTACCAAATGTATAGTACTAAAATAAATATTAAAATAAGAATGTATGTGCTGCTTAGTTATTTTATTATTTTTTTTACGAATAGTTTTTTTTTTTTTTTTTTTTTTTTTTTTTTTACGTACGTACGTTCAAACAGGTATTCATATATCTTATATGATATAAATAATATTGATATTAAGTTAGATCATTGAAAAATTGTTTATTATTGCTAATAAATTCAATACCAACATCAGAAAGATAACACTCTTGCATAATAGTAATATAATGAAATTAAGCTAATCAGAGAAAAAAAAAACTTACAAAACATACGATATCGTTGTATTAATTAGATGGTTAATTAAGAGATATGACTAATGTTCTATATTAAGTATCTTGATAAAAGAGCATTAATTGTTCATACGTCGTGTTATATAAACATTTGCTTGACTAAGTATCTTCCGTTTTTCATCATTGTTTAAGTCAATGCCTATAAGCGGAAACGCACAAATTTGCACAACATCATCTTGATAATGATCAGAATCAAATGCACCTTCCATAAGATCGGGATTTACTCGAGTATTACATTCAAACCAGACCGGTGGATCAGCTATTTGTTCTTGGACTTTCAATCTGAAAAAGAATATTTTAATGACATCACGAGCAAGCTTTATAGCAATGTCATTGAAACTCTTGTTTTTGGTGAGATCTTTTACAATTCGAAACTGGTTCGCTGCGAGAACTAATTTTTGTTGGAGATGACTAATAAATGGATGTTCAGTGGTTCCTTCGGGTGATGCAATTGGATTAAACCCACGATTGCCTAAAACACTATAAATTTGTTGTCTAAGTTTTATTGATAAGGTTGGAGTAATATCATCATTGCCTTTACGAAATTTAGCAAAATCATCTATCACATTTAACAGAATCTTCGTGTTTTGATCAATCTGCGTTTCAAGTGTTGAATGTTCGGTGCTTGAAAAAAATCCGGCAATATATTTAATCGATGTTTCAAGAATAAATCTCTGCATAGCTGCTTGAAGTAATGACTTATAATGTCCATCATCTATAAAGTTTGTACATTTATATTTCTTCAAAAGCAAATATGCTCTATCTTTAATAATGTCAAAATCTTTAGCTGGCTTAACAACAGTGAACTTTTCAAGATTTTTTTTCAAAGTCTTGATATCTTCTCTAAGTTGACAGGAGTTGTTGAGATCGTCATTGCCTAATCTTACATTTGTTGCTCTACCTAATGCAGATTGATATTTTGACGCTTCGCGTGTTAAACGTTCAATATTTTTTTGTGCTTCCTTTTTATTATTTTCGACTTGATTTTCGAGTTCTTTGTTCCGACGTTGCATTTCTTCTAACTGTTCTTCGAGCTCCTTATTCCTAAGTAGTAGAACATTAGTAATCTCTTTTATTACGCCGTCGGTATTTCTATGTAGTATATTTGTTATTTTATTAATTATATCAACTTGGTCGAGTGCAACATCCCTTCCGTTCTGTGCTGATTGTTGTTTTTGCGTTTGCATCTTTAGTCAAAATAAAAAAAATATAAATAAGAATTCAACTCGACTTTGTGAACATATTTAGTTAATACATACTATCAAACCTCCTCTATTAGAATACATTTAAGAATCTGGTACCAAATATGCGTAAAGATGTTTGCTTTCTTTTTTTTAGCTTTTCGTTTTAGAATTATTAAATTTTTTTTTTTGACGATTTATTACTATAATTGTATAAATACAATATTTCGATTATGAAGCAAACAAATTACCTTTTTGTATTGATTCCAGATTAAAGCTCTTATCAAGTAAAATCGCTCAAGGCGTAAACAGACTTTTGATCCAATTATAATTACAGTAACGCCAAATGATTTCACACTTTATTAATATGAATCAAAGAAATTTATTATACTCACACTTGCACATAAAAATAGTTTATATATTAGAGTTTAACAATGATTTTTATAAATTAGCTTATTGTTTAGAGTTTAACAATGATTTTAATTAAATGGCTTATTTATTAGAGTTTAACAATGATTTTAATTAAATAGCTTATTTATTAGAGTTTAACAATGATTTTAATTAAATAGACATTTTTAATACAAGTGTCTCGAAATATAATATAAATATCACAAGAAAAGATCGAAAAAAAGTATTCATTAATGATTATTTCATACGATAAATAAACATAATCAACATTACTATGTCTGGTTTTTTTTCAATAGATGACATTCGAGTAGTAATTTCCATAGGTATCATCTTGTCTATCCTTTTTTTTGTCTGAACGTTGATATTATCTAACAATAATTACTTAATAATTACTGCTGGACCAAATCCAATAGATTTTGGAACTACGTTCTCTGTAAGGAATTTCTTATTTGATATGTTTTTACAAATAATACAAACACTTACTTTTTTTTTTTTAGGGTTTTTCATACGCAAACGTGTTTGATAATGAAAAAAATGGTCAAAATGACGAGATGAATTTTGAATATTATACCTATAGTTTATGGGCAAGGATAAATATTAAATTTTCATTAATTTTTAAATGGATTAAGATCGATTAGTTAAACATGTTACATATATGTAGGATGGCAAAGCTTACGGAAAGTTCAAAACCAACACTGTTCTTCGATATGATGATGAATTCGATAAAGTTTTGGCGTGGGGTGCTGCAGGTTTAGCAAAGAATCCTAACAATAAAAAAAAAAATGCGAATACATCAAAACCTGTAGAACTATTCAAACTTGCTTTGGGCAATTTAGCTGATGATCTAAAACCAGATCTTCCACCAAAACTTCACATTCAAAAAGAAGAAAGGCATAAAAAAGCCATTACTGATTATCTAGAAAAAATGGGTATATCATTCTTTTATTCAAATATTATCTTTACCAAACTTAGTGTCATTAACAGTAAATTTATTTTACAATTTATATTAGGAGAGGTAAATATACTCTCGTAACTCTTTATAGAAAATTGCATGAGCTCTAATAATTTTTATGCAGGTGATTAAACAAAGGGTTAAAAGTCATTGGGATATAGATTTTTATGAAAACACACGACTGATTTTTACTATCCCAGTCGCATATTCTTATAAAGCAAAAAAGGTTATGCGTGAATGTGCATTCAAGGCAAACTTGATTGCCAATGTTGATTCGGATAAATTACAATTTACCACAGAACGTACGGATTTTTATATACTAAATCGTTATTCAAACTGAGTTTTGAAGCTATATGTTATTTTACGCAGCTGAAGCCGCCGCTATATATTGCATAACAAAAAAGAGTTTAAAAGATAATTTTCTCAATGGATCAGAATGTATGTATTGAACTATGTTTAGTACCTAAAATTTTTAAAAATTTTAATTATTTTTCTTAATTTTTATACCAATAGCTAGTTTCTTAATTGTTGATTGTGGAGGTGGAACAGTTGATTTGACTACACGTAAATTATTGAATAATTGTGAATTGGGAGAAATTACAGGCAAGATTTTGAATAGCTATTGCAATAATTCCAACATAATTTTTTTTTTTCGATTTAATCATAAAATATGTTCTATTAAACATGGTTTTATTAGAACGTGCCGGAGATTTCTGCGGATCTACTTTCATCGATAAAGAATTCTTGAAATTTCTTGGTAGAATTGTTGGCCAAAATGTGATAAAATTGCTCCGTGAAAAACATTAT